AAGACCTTTAAAAATTGCATTAAGGCCTCCTGTCTGAAAGGTACCAATTGTTGGTCGGATGCCAGTCGTGCGGCTTCCATGAAAGGTTTAGGTCCCGGTTGAGGAGGTACCAGTAGCGGTACTGATGCTGGTACGGTGTTCACAGAGTCTTTGGGGTCTTCCTGTATGGAGGGCATCAGAGGTACTGCTTGAATTGGCTCCACTGCCGATTGAGGGTCTTCTTGTAGGAATGGCAGTAGTGGTATAACTGGTTCTGATAGTATTGCGTCTATGACTGCAGGTACCAATAGCTCCTGGTCCAAAAGTGGTTCATTGCCAAGACCACCACCTCCCACGAAGAGGCAACCAAGAGCTATACTCTCAGGGGAATCTGAAAAACTCACTGAAAAGCATCCTCCGGCATGGTCCTTCTCCACTGATATTTTGGAAATTTTAATGCAGATCTTCACAAAAGGATTCTCATTGGAAGGAAAACACATGGGTTTGGGAGCCGGCAAGTCTAAATGTAAAAAGAAAGACCATAAATTTCTCTGGTAAACACGTTCCTTAGCAAAAAATTATCTGTCACCTCACTATCAAAATTGTGTAAAATCAGCCAAGCTTAAAGTTCTACGTGGTATAAATCTTTTCGGTGGTAGCATCATTTGTAGTACTGTACCTTTTGCCGCTTTCGCGGCGACGGTAATAGCTCGGGCGATCCAATTCAGGGTAAATCGCACGTTCTAAAGACAAAAAGAATTATTAATCTGCTTGAATAGAAAATTTCCGGTTGATTTTTAAGCATATTATGGACGTTTTTTTTTTCAGTATCCTCCACTCTTTAAATTTGGTTTGGGGGAGTCAGTGTAGACTAAAAGCACCGGAAATGACACAGCGTCAAGCATTGGTCCCCCCCGACAGCATTCCCAAATCATCACCCCAAATTAAGAGGAATGAACAAAGAAAGTCTCAAACAAGAGTAGGCGATCAATCTCGTGTTTGTTAATAGTGTATTTATCCTAACTTCTCATTTTTAGATTTTTATCTCTTAGTAATTTTGTATTTTACTTTAGTAGTCAGCTACCCTTTTGCTGTTTTAATTTGTTGCTCGATTTTTTATAGGGTCATTTGGACGAGGAAAAATATGAATTATACGAACTTCCAGTATAAATAGCACAATTTGTCCGAAAAAAAGACGCGGCTTAGCTAAAAAAAAGACGAGGCGATCTTACCTGACACATCAGTATAAGCGACGTAAGACTCGAACCATTTTATACGCACTGCTCGTATGATCATGAGTGAAACAGTTCGCGTCTTTTGTAAGAAGTGTTTTATTTCCATAAATGACCTTTTTTTTACATTTAGTGGACACTCCCAGGAAGCAATTTTTAATTAATTGGAGGCCTCCTTTTGAAAAATTTGCAGTTATGTAGTACTGTAATTAAATTTGCCGTGATGAGTTCCTTTAGGACTGTCAAATTTGAACGCAGACGCCACAGAACTAGCTTGCAAACAGAACAACGCAAAGTAAAATGAAGGAGAATACATAACCCAGGAGGTAGAAAAAGGCTACGGCCCCGTTTTTCAAAGCGCCCCTTTCCAGATAAAAGGCTCGTCTTGGCAGCGACACCACTTAACCCTCCCTTTCTCCCTCGATCAAAATGGTTTTTGCTGCGAAAAAAAAACTTACCGGAGAAATGTATTTAACTGTCATGCACACTGTTAAAAAAACAAAAGAGTAAAAACGATTAAACGAAGAAAAAGATTATGTTAAATTAATGTGACTATGCAAGCAAAAGAGTAGAAACGATTAAATGAACAAAAGCTATAAAACTTAAATCATGTAGACAATGTAATATAATAGCGACAATAAATTCTTCCAATCCAAAGCTTAACATTTCGCGAAGCACCACGTGTTTTTCACGCGAACGGCAGAGTAGCACATTTCTATCGACTATTTCTTCATTTTGATCGCTTGTTTGTCAAAAACTGAAAGTACTAAAAGTTCGACAACATGAAAACAGGTTGTACCCTTTTTAGTTCTTTCGCTTTCAGTTTAATAGGAATTATAATGATCCAGGTATATCTACTTGAAAGCATGTCGTTTTCTAATTAACTGAATATCATTCAATTTTTTTGCTAAAAATAGACAAACTTTAATATAAATTGAGAAGGTCTACTGGTACCTTTTGTTTTTTGCATCTCCGTGCAGCATCTACAAGTATCCACTTCACAGGTGGGCGTGCACTTTTGATAAATGGCCTTCGTTGCTTGCGGAATCACATCCTTCTCATGAATGCCTAGAAATTAAAATGAGAAGATCTTTTAAGGATAATAGTCTTTATCCTGCTAAAAATTGATAAAAATTACCCTTAAAACATGTAAAAGCTGTGGTTTTAAATGAGTTTAGGAAACTGCATCATTCGAAAGCTTGGACGTATCTCATTTAATTGAAAAGAGGGCCCCCGTCCAACAATCAATGCCTTTAATAAGCACCCCACCCTCCCAGTGACAATAAAGCAGTTGTTGACTTTACTGCTTATCATCAAAAGCTGGGAATAAACAGTGAGAGGTAAAATATATAAACATGGAGAAGTAAATATCACAATCGCCGGTCTCCTGAGCGGGAAGCCACTGGTTCAAATCCCTGGCAGGACCATCACTCAGGGTTTTTATGTAAATGAGAAGAAAGTGCTGAAACCGGCAAACAGTTAGACTTTCTCGTCTTCTCAGTTAAGGATGATGATAAACCGTAGCTTGTCCTGCTTAAGGTTTTGCCCGCGTCTTCTGTTATGAAAAAAAGAAAAAGCTTACTCACCGTATATCCAGGCTGCTGGCGCCGCACATGTAATCGTGACAAAAGTCACAACTAAAGAACTAATAAAAATTGGCTTCATGTCAGAGATGCGGACAATTTTCGGCATAAATACTCTTCAAATTCCTACGAACGGTTTAGTACAACAGATCTATAAAGATCTTGTGATAAGACAAGTTACTGCGTGAAAATGAACTTTGGACCAGTGCATGAACTGTCCACGATCAATAAAATGCTATAGATGGATAAAACAACGTCGTGTGCTCAGTACCGGACAAGTCAAGGCTATGATGGGTTCAATCCAGTAAGGTCAGGTGTAAACATCACAAGTCTACGTACGCCTCACGTTCATTGTTAAGGTTGCAGCACCTTTACGATGTGGTGTACACCGGGTCCAGGGATGAATCCCAGGAGATACGAAACAGTTTTATTAAGCAACAATATTAATATTCCAAGGACTGAAGTTAATTTAGGGTTCACTATCATGACCGTTTTTATGTTACGTGTGGTTAACCATCGTCATCACGCGACATCTCGTGCTGCTTACAAGAAGCTTTCACGCGAAGGCTCATGCAAAGACCAAATAATGCTTATTACGTCCAAGGTCGAGCGCCAAGAAATAGAACAAGCATACTACACGAGTTAGATATAGCCTGCGCGCCAGCCGTCGAACGGGGTGGGACCGAGAGGAAGAAAAGATGGAGGGGGTAACGGAGGGGGTTCCCTTTTCCTTTATAGGCTTTTCTCTCTCTCCCCTCCCCTTTTTGCGCCTACACGCAGGCTATACACAAGTACATGCGTGTCACATGCAGGTAGCATACGAGTAGATATACATAAGGGTGGATACGAATGCACTTTTTTAATTTGCAGCAGCTTTGAGGACTTTGAAGTACGAAAGTGGCTTTTTAAGGGCACAATGGCCTGTGGTATAACCACCAAGATTTCTTACTTAAAATCCGCCACTAAGGTACATACTTTTTAGAGAAAGACTGATCTGGAGGGATAGTTCTGGCACCAGGTGTTCAAATCAAAAGGTGAATAATGCTCGGTTAAGTCTCTATCCATTGGATGGTGCACTCCACTGGATAGTGATTAATCCGGTGGAAAGCGCTATAAGTGTCTGAACAACCAGGGCCTGATTTCTAGTGAAATTCTCTTTACAAATTGACTGGTCTGCCCGACCAGTTCTAACAGATTTTTTGTTTGACCCGTTTTTGGTGCCGTCACCCAACGCCGAGGACCTGCAAAATAGTTTTGTCGCCGATATCAATCGACAACAGCGTTTCTTGATCATCAAAACGGCCTCAAAAACAGTCAAAACATACACCTTGACGTCAACTGGTTCAGTACGAAAGAGTTGCCTGGAAAATGAAAAATGCATGTCAGACTGAATGACGTCAATTGGAGGTTAGTCGCGACATCGTTGCTAGGCAACTCCGGATAGAAATATAGCCACAGAAATATTTATAACCACTGCAACATCACTTTTCGCTTAGCGATTTCGTGGGAGCCAGGCGCGATGCAAATTACGACAGATTTATTAAAACCTCGCTTCGCGAGGAACTAAATTCAACTGAATATTTCGTCCTTATCCGAGGTCTAAACGTTTGCACATATCATTATATTTTCCTTTTTTACTGGTTAGTATTTTTGTTTTTGTTTTTTTGTTTTTTGTTTTGTTTTTTCTTCGTTTCTGAAATTCACTCGAGTGAACGCTTTTAGAGAGTCTTCATCAGTTATTTGTTTTTCGGCTAACCCTCCAGAAAACATAAGAAATTACAATTCGAGTAGCATGCTTCTACATTGGCAAAAAAAAAATGAGTGAGTGAACAAAATGAACGAGCAAACAAACAAGTGAATGAATGGATGGATGGATGGATGGATGGATGGATGGATGGATGGATGGATGGATGGATGGATGGATGGATGGATGAATGGATGAATGAATGGATGGATGGATGGATGAATGGATGGATGGATGGATGGATGGATGGATGGATGGATGAATGAATGAATGAATGAATGAATGAATGAATGAATGAATGACTGAATGGATGGATGGATGGATGGATGGATGGATGGATGGATGGATGGATGGATGGATGGATGGATGGATGGATGAATGAATGAATGAATGAATGGATGAATGAATGGATGGATGGATGGATGGATGGATGGATGGATGGATGGATGGATGGATGGATGGATGGATGGATGGATGGATGGATGGATGGATGGATGGATGGATGGATGGATGGATGGATGGATGGATGGATGGGTGAATGAATGGATGGATGGATGGATGGATGGATGAATGGATGAACGGATGAATGAATGAATGAATGAATGAATGGATGGATGAATGAATGAATGAATGAAAGAACGGACTAACGAACGAACGAATGAATGAATGAATGAATTAATTAATTAATTAATTAACCAACACAGCTTTTAGGATGTATTCCATCTACTTCAGTGAGGGTAATACTCTTATCAGGCGTTGCTTTAGCCTGAATATCAGCCGTGCTCCATGAGTTGGGAGTTTGCGGCTCGAGGAAACGACTGAAATTCTGGCTAGTCTTGCTTTGGAATCTGGAAAGTTTACAAAAAAATGTGTACCTACCGTAACAGCGGTATTTTTTATTGACAAAACAATTGCAACTACAAAAGAGTAACTAAATCCCGGATTATGTTTTATTTGTTTTTACGTTACAAAGTTTACTTTTCGCGTAAAATCACTAAATTCACAAAATCTGTTTACAAAGCCCGTTATGTGCCGGTAATGGAATTCATGGTTTGATTTGGGCATACATGTTATAACAAACCCTGAATTGCACGCCTTGGTAACCAGGCACCCTATTTTAATATATAGAAACACCCCAAGGGCCGTTCTAATTTGCCAATACTGACATCCATACATGTGCCTGTGTTACTGAGGGCCAGCGACACTTTCTTCAATTTTAAGCACATTTTCACTTTTCTGTCGAGCATTTGCACAACTTTGCATATCGGAGAAGGATCCGTCACTAAAATAAAAAAAAAGAACAGCAATTATTTTTTCTGTTTAACTTTAACCCTACAACGGACAGAGTCAATTGCCTTGAAAATGGAGACATTTACTGTGGTTCTAACTCACAATGTGTAGTTCCAGAAAATATTCATACCCCCCTCTCCGCGGAGGGCACTTTTGTTTTAGACCCCCACCCCGCTGGGATTTCCATTCCGGGGGGTGCTTATTCAACTGACTGGTAGGCACCCCCTGGAAAATATATTTACGTCAAAGATAATGTTGTTGCACTGTACTGTTATGCGAAAGTTAATTGTTTCCGCGATCAAGAGAGGAAAAAAAATCTTTTATTCATGTGAAAACAGTGTCTGATTATCTCAATTTCGCCTTGTAAAAGTCTTCCTTAGTTAATAATCAACGGTAAGATATGAGAAACATGGAGGCGATACCTTACACGACACAAATAACAGCCAGTTAAATTCAAACTAAACATCGAGTCGACATTTATTTCTTCCTTTCAGTCAAAAAATTGTTTCAAGGCTTAGAACACAACCGAACTACAACAACAGGTGAAATACCAGAAGTTTATTCATAAGCCGATGACATTTGACATTTATTTATCGCGTAAGCCGTGAAAAAAAAACATTCCGCAGACCGTAAATAACCTCGAGAAACCACCCCTGACTCTGGACCCCCTTCCCCTCGGAATTTCCGTTGTCCTCCGCGGGGGGTACGGATATTTTCTGCAATTACACAATTTTGTGAACGCAAACCTATGGTGTGACCATTCAAATGAAACCTCTTCAGCATGTGCAGTACTTTAATATGATACTATTAATTCAGTTAGTATGCACCCAGGGGGTACTTCCTGTTATGGCCTTTACTGGAGGCACACCCGGAAGGGGTACCTTTGTCAGGCTTTAAGTATATGAAAGGATAGGGATTTCACAAGTTGAAGTGTATTAAGGGGTATAGGTAAATCTGTCATTTCCGTCTCTAAAAAGGCCCTAAATTGGTAACAGATCTACAATGTAGATGCATTTTATGGTTGCGAAAAAGTCGAGAAAACGTCCTGGTTTTGTGACTTATTCATGTTTTTAATATGGTGCTTTTACAGTAATTTAAAGGGATGCAAAGTTCTAATCAATGTGTGTGAAAGGAGTAGCATTTGTCAATATACGGTATACGAAACGGGTAACTTTTCTGTCTAAATAGTTTATAAAAAGACAGGGGTTGAAACACGAGGCAGAGGCTTCCGGCCGTATAAAATGTTGCTGACTACCCCCTGGGAGTGCGTAGTTCTAACTTTTGAGTCTGTTTTGGTGTGACCATTAAAACGAAACCCCTTCAGCAGTACTTTAACATGGTACTATTTATTTAGAATGTATATTCTAACTTTTGAATCTGTGGATGAAATCCTATGGTGTGACCATTTAAATGACACCTCTTCAGCAGTACTTTCACATTGTACTATTTATTTAGTGTGTATTTCTAACTTTTGAGTCTGTGGATGAAATCCTATGGTGTAACCATTAAAATGAAACCTCTTCAGCAGTACTTTCACATGGTACTATTTATTTAGTGTGTAGTTCTAACTTTTGAGTCTGTGGATGAAATCCTATGGTGTGACCATTCAAATGAAACCTCTTTAGCAGTACTTCACATGGTACTATTTATCTAGAATGTAATTCTAACTTTTGAGTCTGAAGATGAAATCCTAAGGTGTGACCATTCAAATGAAACCTCGTCAGCAGTACTTTCACATGGTACTATTTATCTAGAATGTAATTCTAACTTTTGAGTCTGTGGATAAATCCTGTGGTGTGAACATTCAAATGAAACCTCTTCAGCGGTGACAGAAAGATGTTAATATTTGTGTGCAGAGTCTTCTGACAATTTCTCCTTTAAGAAAAAAACAATATTTAGATATCGGCGGGTGAGAGCGTAAGTGTGTTACAACGAGTTTTAACACAATATTATCGCTGTCTTTCCACTTACCAGAGATTTGTTCCTTGAAAAGTGAGTGATTTGCAATGACTGTCACATTAAAACCCTGAAGGAGAACAACGTAATATTGAAGGGGGCGAATTAAAACGTTCAACAGGACACGATTAGAACTTGTTTTCTTGAGTGATTGGCTATTAAGGCTATTTAAAGTAGCGGGAGATTTTTCAGCCAGTCAAAATAGTAGCAATGACCTTTGACGGTCAATTAAAAACTGCCTTTTCCTGGTGTGATGAATTAAGAGCTAGTGAATGCCAAATTATAAGAAGCTCTTCTGTCGCCCTTACCGTATCGGCCTCACTCAAGTCTCCCACGACACACGCTGCAACAGAATGAAATAGCAATAATTAAATTAATGAACTGAAATAAAAATCCTCCCTAAAATATTGATCTTAAAATTTTTCAGCGCCTTTCTTACCCATACAGTGAGGACAATGAGCCTCACCTTTGATAGAAATTTTAAAAGCTTCTGTCTTGGAGCAGCAGTAGCAAAAACGAAATGGCTTTTGTGGACACTGGCAACCATCTTCATAAAGTGTCTCAGGACCTGTGACGATATCGTTCAGATAGTCTTCATATGAAAAGTAGCTTGCGTCAGTCTCGCTATCCTACAACAAAGATGTGGACAATTAGAAGTAGTTAGTCGTCTCTAGGGTATCTACCCACACAGTCATTAAATAAAAGAACAGTGGCGATCTACACCTTGTCATAACCGGCAAGGGCGGGGTGGGGGAACTTGAAATAAGGAAGGCGTTCTTGAAAATAGTAAGAAAATTTCTTAATTGAGGGTAGCACTTAATATCTCTTGATAATCTACAAGTGACTCTCAAAAAAAGAAATAAAAGGAAGCGACAGATCAAAATACAGAGATTCAAACGTTATCAGGTTTGAAGAGTAATTAACTAACTAATTGCTTAGTAGTTTTCTTGGTTCTTTTGGCCTCGGGTTTGGTATAAAAATAAATCGGGAACCACCTGGGGGCACGCCTCGGGTCTTTCCACTAGATCTACCAAGGAAGAGTGCTTATTTCCTCAAACATTTCAGATTCATTTGCCCTAAACATAAGCTATACTAAAAACGAACCGTAATCGTCTGTAGCATATCCACCTCTAAGGTTTCTTTCTTTAAGACCAATTTAGGATTCTCCTTTTCAAAAGGTACATGCGGTACTAACTTCACCACCGATTCATGGTCATCCTGTTGGGAAGGCTTCAGTAGCATTGCAGGTACTTCTGGTATCGCGTCCATGACATATTCAGGGTCCTTCTCGTGGCTGGGATGTAGGGGCATTGCTATGTCAACTGTAGAATCATAGTCATCTTTTCGAGAAGACTTCATTTGCATTGCTGGTACTGCTGGTATCGCATCCATGACGTATTTAGGATCCTTTTGTAAGGTGGGTTCTAGAGGCATTGCTTGCACTCTGTCCACTATAGATTCATAGTCCTCCTCTCGGACAGCCTTCAATGACATAGCAGGTACCCCTGGCATCGCATCCATGACATATTTAGGATCCTTTTGTACGGTGGGTTCTAGAGGCATTGCTGGTATTCTGTCCACATAAGACTTATAGTCCTCCTGTTGGGCAGGCCTCAGTGGCATTGCTCGTACTGCTGGTATAGCTGGTATTGCGTCCATGACGTATTTAGGGTCCATGGCGAGTTCTAGAGGCACTGCTGGTACTACTCTATTAGCTTTAACAGTTCTAGGGTTTTCCTGACGGTCAGGTCCCCTTCCCATGTAAAGACAAGCGAGAGTGAACTTTATTGGTATAGGCTCAGTTGTCACTCCGAAGCAGCCTCCAGCTTGACCTCTCTCAAATGATATTTGGGTGATGTTGATGCATATCTTTACAAACTTGCCTGTTTTGCCAGGTTTAAAGCATATGGGTGATGGATGCAAATCTGTTGATCAAGGGAAAAAAGGAAACAAACGCGTTTCTTGTATGAGGGTCTAAGTAGGGTTACCCGATCAACCGTTACCGCCAAGAACAGAAAATTTTCGTTTTAAGACGGATAGCAGATTATAACCGCTAAAATTTTCTCTAGCCACAATTCCGGTGCATGGTTCAACTCCTAAAGGACTGCTTTGGGACACCGTGAATAAGGCGGACGTGACGTCACGTGAAAACGCTCTATAACAGGTGTCACTTTGCGACCCTTTTTAAGGGAGCAGTTAAGGGTTGGCTATAAGTATCGAGCCTCTGTCCAGTGCTTCTGGTCTATCAGTGCTACGAGTTTGAGTGATTCAATCCATATTCAGAGTTAGGAAGGAAACCGAATCAACAGTGAAATCCGCAGCTTTAAACTAAAAGAGTGTTTTTTTTAAGTTAGATTTGTTTTATTTGTTGGATTTAAGTACCTGTTGCTGTCACCTTAAAGTGATTTTTTTCACCCCACGTCAGAGAAAACTCCACACCCTAAAAACAAATTGAATTATTATTGAAAGACATTTTCTCTACCAACAATTGAATCAGAGGATATATACAAATTTTGTCGTGAATTAACACGAGCAAATGACAATTGTAACATAAAATTTACTCCCCTAGTCGGGACATACTTTCTCATATAATTCACATTTACTCTAAGAGTGTATTGTAAGCCTTTTTAACCAGTCTAAAATAAAAGTAATAATTTTAGAATTAAAATAAACAACTTACCAAAGGAAAGGGTGTAAAGGTAGTGAACATGCACACTGCCGACAGAAAGAAATGAGATATTTGAGTAAATCGAGACAGTAATAGATTACTAAAGTGTGACGTCATAAAAATGAAATTTCTGAAATTATGGGATATTCTGGAAAGAACAAGGTCCAAGAGGCCTACTTGCCAAAAATGAGCATTTGGGGGCAAATTTTCTCTGAGATCGTAGCCCAGTTATGCTTACAAAACTCCATACAAACCCTTCTAAATTTTTTTGGGGTCGACCCAAAAAAAAAATTAGAAGGGTTTGTATGGAGTTTTCTGAGTATAACTGGGCTACGATCTCAGAGACAATTTGCCCCCAAATGCTCATTTTTGGCAAGTAGGCCTCTTGGACATCGTTCTTTCAGAATATCCTGACAAATCCCATAATTTCAGAAATTTCATTTTTATGACGTCATCACTTTAGTACTCTATTCTCTTTCGTATATAGCGTGTTTTCACTCACGTGGCCAGCATCTATGCAAATTTATTGGAACAAAAGAAAGCGTTTGCATAAGAAAAGAGTTCAACTCCCACAAGATTGGTTTGGGACACCAACATGGCCGCCGTTTCATTGTTTTGGGACACCAATATGGCCGCCGTGACGTCATGTGAAAACACTCTATACTAAAACAGTGGATAGTGTTATTCGCGCACTCTGATTGGCTACTCAATCAGTGAATATCCTGCACTATTCACTGACTTACCTCCAGTTTCTCCGAGCGAGCGACGGCAAACTCGCGTAGGTTGAGAGCAAAATGCCTTCCCGGTTTGCTGCCGTAACAAACTACGAAATTTCACAACTAATCAAGCAAGCTATTTCCGAGATACATGAAGAAGGTGACGAAGTTCGGTTTGAAAGTTTTAACAGGTAAAGCTTTTTGTCTTTTTGACTTGAATTTATCGATAAAACCGGTGAAAAAGTTTTTTGTTTACAAATGCAAATTAAGCTTAAGGCTTGCATTACTTTATTTAGTTGACTTGTTCATGAATAAGCTTAAAACTAAATTGAATAATCTTTTTTACAGAATTATTTTAAATACAAAAAGAATTCACAACTCCTTTTAAAGAAACTTCCCCGCAAGAGCTAAACAAACGCCTTCAAAAGTTTTATTTGTCGCTAAGAAAAAGCGACGACCGCGGCCGTTCGGTCATCGAGCGCCAAAATTGTAATCGTTGGCAACAGTAAATGAGTTAAAAATCATCATTTTTGTGCTAAATTATTTCACTGTTTTAGTATATACTAAAATACTAGCCACCTCCACTTCGGTGAATAATTGTTATTTATTACAGGGTGTCCCAAAAGTTCGTTCCTCTACGTTATAAGTCTGTATTTCAGTACGATTGGTCTTGGTAAGCCAATCATTGAAACAAAATTTTTCTTTCAATCTAATTCACCATTTTCATACTTGTTGTGCCATTTTTTGACTTGAATATTCGATTTGTGTACTTCCGCGCCAAAGGTGGCGTGCGCGAGTATATTTTCCAGCCACATATTTTTTGTATTTTATAGCCCGAATTGCTCGAACTCCTTCCTTGTTTTTTGTGAATATCACGAAAGATAAATCCCCTTAACGCAAAAACGCCCAGCTATTTTAGGGAATGAGCATGTATATTTCGATTTACTGGCTTATCTGTCGTAGAAACTGCTAAAAACTGGAAAATCCGAATGTTGGGTGGTAAAATGATCATGGAGGAATGAAGGTTTTGAACGCAAGAAATGAAGGGGAAGACCAAAACTCCTGAATAAAGCAGCTAAATAGTCTTAAAGAAGGCTAGATACAAAAAGGAGACTCGACGAGAAAGCTCTCACATAGTTAGAAAGCCAAGTCCAGAAAGGGTCACCAAAAGCTGATTAAAATTTTTCAAATTAGAGGCCCGTGAGATGGCAAAAAAAAACCTCTGCTTAGTCCGCCAAGTAAGTCAAGTAACGCCCAGCTCGTCTCAAGTTGTAGAGCAGTACAAAATCTTGCTGTGGAAGGAGGCCGGAATGATAATCGTTTTTGGATGAATGCCCAAAATATCTTTTTCCCAGCTGCCTAAACTAAAAAAGATATTGTTTGGGGTTGAACTGGCTCTTGCGCACCAGGTGATAAAAAAGCTCAAAATGGATCATCTGTGGGTCGACAAGCTGTATCCCACTACATGCCGCAACGGCTACAGAATGTGATAAAAAAACAAAAAGGGCATGCCAGTTACTGAAATTCTGAATACATGTACTCAATAGAAAAATAAACATCTTCTAGCAATTCCATGTAAAAATAATTTTTGATCAAAAGTTATGGTACATGAATTTAGAGGAACAAACTTTTGGGACACCCTGTATATGACTGAATATAAGCTGGCAAGATGAGGGAATCCTGCATTCGTTCTGATCGGCTACCCGGGGAGATGGGCCCATCTTTCCCTCTCGGGGTTTCCTGCGTAAGTCCGGCAAGGAAAAGTTCTCTCGTTGGTCATGAAATAATTCTTTATTGACCAAGCTTGTTCGGTCGAGATTGCTGGCTTCGTTCCTCGGTCAGTAACAAAACTACTTAATTGAATTCGCCACGGTGTCTTTAAAACACGGTGACTTGGGGTGAAACAGGACTTACGTCCCAATTGATATCAACTCCTTCAATATGTCGTATGATACGGAGTTTAAAACAAAGGAAAGTAAATTTAAACCCAGGATAAAATTGAACCACAATATCAGCATTATACTGGATAGCTTTTCGTTCAACATGAAATGCTCTCCGTGAAAAAAAAAAAAAGTGCATGAGCAGAATCAGTTTTTCTCAGAGGCTACTGCTTTCTTTCAATGCCTTCTTGGAAAAATGAGGTTTTTGGAGTTTATGAAACAGCCTCACTCTCGAGAACGCACCATTTTTGCATTGCCCATAATGCACTTATTAAAAACGGTTTTTTGGGGGGGAGAGGGTTAAACAAGGTTTATGAATATTAATATGTTTATTAATATGGTCAAGTTTTGAAAGACAGATGATTAGAAATTAACGAGGGCATGGGGAGAGCATGCGTGGGGTCGGTGTGCGGTGGCACGTTTTGTGAGGAGCGTAGTTTCTGTCCCTTTACGCCAATTTTAGAGAACTTTATACTGCCTTGACATAATAATTCAACGTTTAAACACTTGCTGAAGTATTAAATGCAGAAATTAGGAGGAAAACACAAACGAGGAGCTCGAGGATCAGTGGAGGAAGAAGAACCATCGACACTTAAAAGAGCCAACATGGCGGAATGTCAAGAGGAAGAGGCAGCGGAGTTAGTGGAAGCGACAAATGAAGCAATAAACGCCGAAGGTGAGCCCAGTAATGCAGAACTAAGGGAGATGTTGGTAGACATTCAAATAAATACTGCAACTATCCTACGCGAAAACAAAACAATCAGAAGCGAAATGACCGATCTCAAGCGCACAATTCAACATCAAACAGACGATACAGTACTTACCCGCTTATAAGAACCTGTATTTAAGAACCTGTTAGCCTAAAATTCTCAATTTAGACCCCATTTACATAAGAACCTGTTTAGCCTAAAATTTGAAACAGGTTCTTATTTCATGGAAAATGTTTCAGTTATAACTTCTTCTGTCAAAAAAAAACATTTTATTCAGGCACATGGACAGAAGTATATATATACATATCTATTTCATTGGAATATATTAATACATGAACTTTTAGTTTTAGCTTGATACTGAATGTATCTACTAAAATTGGTCATGCCTGTGTCATTAAATTAATATATATTCCACCTTTCTACCATTTACAGATGTATAATATATTTCTCATTATATAAGAACCTATTTAAGACCCTCTGTAGCCTAAAATTCCACTAAACACCATTTACATAAGAACCCGTTTAGGCTAAATCTGAAAAAATAGGTTCTTATAAGCGGGTAAGTACTGTATAACTGCGTTGAAATCATCTCTAGAACATATAACGAAGCAGTACAACGAGGTAGAACGCGAGCTGGTGGCAGCAAGAAAGAAAATTCAAGAGCAGGAAGAAGAAATTGGTGAATTGTACGATCTTCAAGACAAACTAGAACAATACACGAGGAAAAACTCAATAGAAATACATGGTGTACCAGAATGCGCTTACACCGAGACGGAAGACGTGGTGTTAAAATTAGCGGAGGCCCTAGATGTATCGGTGGAACCAAAGGATATCGAAATATGTCACAAGCTGAACAGGAAGGGTAACAAACCAATTATTGTAAAATTTATAAGCCACAAGGTCAAAACAAATCTATACAGGGCTAGGGCTAAGCTAAAAAATGTCAGAGTTTCTAACATCTTCCCGCAGTGCTCGTCGTCAACTCTAGTGCAAGCCGACAGAATTTTTTTAAACGAGAATCTTACCTCGTACAGGAAAAAAATAATGAATCGGGCAAACGAGATGCGGAGAAATGATGAATTGTTGAGTGTCTGGTCAATGGATGGATCAATATATGTCAAGACCTCTCCGCAGGGTAAGCCGGTCAGAATTAACGAGCTGGAAGACTTAGATTATCTTTAAATGTCCAATCGGCCAAGGAAGACAAAAACTGTAACTTACATTTGGGACAGGAACAAAAAACGCAAAGTTCGAAGAAGAAGAAGGGAAACGCTCAAAAACTACTTTAATTTACGTGTTGTATAATTTTAGTTTTGTTTGCTTCTGTATTTTTTTTTTTTTTAATTTGCATATATATTCTTCTTGTTTTTTTGTTTTTGTTTTTTTTGTTTTTTATTGTAATGCAAGAGAAAGCAAAATACGATATACTTTCTCTAAACGTAAGGGGAATAAGAGATCAAGCCAAACGGAGGAGCATTTTTCTATATCTCAAAGATCATAACTCAAAAATTTATTTCTTGCAAGAAACTTACTCTCAACCAGAAGATGAAATTATTTGGAAAAACGAATGGGGAGGTGAAATATTTTTCTCTCACGGATCCAGACATAGTAAAGGTGTTTGCATTCTTTTACACCCTACGGTACAAAATAAGATCGACTACTCATTCAGCGACAAGGCTGGAAGAATCGTGCTAATTACTTGTGTTCTGAATTCTCTAAAATTATCACTGGTGAATATTTATGCCCCGAATAGCCAAAGTGAACAATTAGATTTCTTACAAAACTTAAACAATTGCCTTATCGACAAGTCAGAAATTTCCACGCTTATTGTAGGAGGAGATATTATCCAGCAAAATCAGACAAGAACCAAGTATAACAGGAATCAAAATATTCGGGCACGAAATCAAATTGAGCCAATTCGCAGACGACACAAACCTTTTCTGTGCAGATTTGATCTCCGTTGAAAATGCTTTGAAAACGGTGGGAGATTTTGGGAGGCTAGCGGGTCTCAAGTTAAACATAAAGAAATCGAAAGCAATTTGGTTGGGAAAATGGGAAAAAAACAAAAGTTATCCTTTACAACTAAAATGGTTACATAGTCCGACTCGCCTCTTAGGAATTCATGTCTCTTATGATGAGAAGGGTAACAATGAATTGAACTTTAATCTGAAAATACGAAAACTTCAAACAAAGCTGGATATGTGGAGATCTAGAGACCTCACACTATTTGGGAAGGTACTGATAATTAAGTCCCTAGGATTGTCACAATTAATTTATTCAGCTTCAATTCTTAATGTTCCCGAAGATATCGCAAGCACAGTGAAAACAAAGTTTTTTAGTTTCTTATGGAAAAACAAAAGGGATAAAATTAAACGAACTGGGCTCTATCAGGATCTGGGAAGAGGCGGAATACGTATGGTAGACATCGACATAATCGACATCCAGGGAACCAGAATTGGAAAACAGTTCCTGATTATTACCTAAGAAAATTCGGAGGTTTGAACTTTTTACTGAGATGTAACTATGATGCGAATTACATAAAATCTATTCCATTGTTTTACCGAAATATTCTAGTATACTTCAGTGAATTAAAAACTCTGTACAGCTTTGATCAAGCACAAAATATAATTCTATTCAACAACAAAGAAATACTTGTTGACAGTAAAACCTTTTTTATCAGGGAATGGTTTAAAAAAGGTATCCTGTCAATACAAGATCTCTTAAACAATACCGGTCAACTTCCTTCAATACTATCAAGTTATTAGCGCTATCCCAAAGCACCTATTAGCCAAAGCAAAATCAACGAAGCCAATTAATAAAGAGTTATATTCTGATAATAATCTTAGTCTACAATTAAATGAATCGATAACTCTATATCTGAACAAAATCAAGACTAGCGACTTCTATACGTTACTATGCACAAAAATCCACACAACAGGTCATTCTGGGCCACAGAGATGGAGCAAAGATCTTTCCTTGGATGAAGATAAATGGGAAAAAATATTCACCTCCCTAAAAACCGTCTGTAGAGAGACCAAATTAAAGGAATTTCAATATAAATTAATCCACCGAATTGTAGTCACCAAAAAGGAACTTTACCGCTATGGAATCAAGGAAGATGATGAATGTATATATTGTGGTGAAAAAGACTCTATTAATCATACTTTTAGAGATTGTCATTTCGTCAAGATTTTCATTCAACGGGTTATCAACTGGTTCAATATAGAAAACAAGATCAATCTCAACCCATCTAGCGAAGAAAGACTGTTCGGCATCCTCTCGGACTTACATGAAAAGGTACTAGTAAGGAAATTCAATTATACCATGTTGTTTATGAGATACTACATCTACGCCAACAAACTACACAACAAACCAATTCTCCTCCAAGACTTCGTTGGTAAAATGATAATTAAATACAGAATTGAAAAGCTATAAAATAGACATGAAAAGTAACTCCTCTGACCTTTTTTTTTTTTTTTTTTTTTTTTGTGTGTTGTGTGTGGGGGGTGTGTGTGTGTATGATGTACTAGAATTGTAAGTAGTGTAACCATTGTAATTATTAGTAGTACGAGCATCGTATGGATGGTATTGTCAGTATAGCCAATATTGTAAATAGTGCAAGTATAGTGAATATTGTTAGTAGTATTTAGTTTCAGTAGTGTTTAGTACTGTAAACATTTAATATATGTCTGTAAGGCAAAAATAAATAAAAAATAAAAAAATAAAAAATAAATAAAAATAAAAAACGAGGGCATGCCGTAAGGGTGACGAGATCGATTGAGCAAGGTTAAGTCACGGAAAAGTCGCGTTTTTTGGTTTGTTTGTTTGCTTGGGTTTTTTTTTATCATTATTGCCTTTTCCAAACACCAGTCGCTAGAAAATGCAAGCACGGCATCGAACATATTGAACAGACCGGGAAAGGCTATGAGGGCTTTGCAAGGAATATAAACATACTGATTGTTACTGACTGTGAAAGATTTACACAAAAAAATAAAGTTGTGTGAGTTGTTATTTAACATATACGTGGTAACTGAAGTTCTGTACCCGGTTGTTCAAACGTTGGACAGCGCTATCCACCGGATAAAACACTTAAGTACGAATAAGTATAGGGAAACCAATTGCGTTATCCACTCAGTGAATAGATTTTTTCCGGTTGATACTCGCTATCCAACGTTTGAACAACCAGAGCTTTGTATGGTATTGAACTATCGTGTTTTCACTAAACTGCGTGGGAAAAAAACCAGTTCATTAAAGAGTTAGTCAACAAACTACACAAAATATTGAAATACTGCCAAATCTCTATCCTCTTTTCAAGATTTTAGCTGTTCATCGGTAGAGCTATGAAGAAAGCAGCCATTTTCTTTCTGATTCAATTGCCCCGCAGAAGTTTGCGGTTAGACTTCCCCTAAAATTGAGCTGAAACTCGTCTTTGATTTGATCGATCGGTGGCATCGGTCGTTGGGAAAGATCCAATCCATTGTGGGTTTGCCTCCCGGGGGGGGGGCGGTAGTTCCTTATAAGAGGCTAATGGGGATGTGCCACTGGATGGGGTCGCATTTTCAATAGAGTTACTAGAATGGGGTCACACATTTTCGGATTTTTTGGGGTAAAACATACGGTCAGCGAATGTACCAGAATGTGTGTACAGTAGATGAAAAGTAAAGTGTTCTTCCTTCAATCTAAAAAATGGGTCAATTCATAAAAATAGAAAGTGACGAAGTTGAGATCGCAAAAATTACATATTCCCGGGGGGGAAATTTCAGGGAAAAGCAAGGTTTTGACGGTAAAAAGCCGAACTGAAACGCACTTCCGAAAAACAAACATATCCCGCGACCTGTTAACCGAAGGCCGTAAAATCGTCTAAAATTTGTCTCTCGTTGATATAAATTCACCCATGCACTGTACCAACTGTCAAGTCAGGTGCCTGCCATATCAGCATGACGCTCATGCGTTTTGTACTAACGTCAAATGAAGTCCCTCATTTCGCCTTGCTCCCCATCGCGTGACCAAAAGCACTTCCATCTCAGGAGGCTTTTCAGTTACTAAACACAAGCGTTCGGATTTTTTCTCGTGCGCAGTCAAGTAACACGAAATCAACCTTTGCGTCGTTTAAATATAATCGTCATTAGTTTAAATATTTAATTGAATTCTTTAAATTAAGTAACTACATGGTTTTCCCTACATAACCTATCTGAGATTTGAAATGGATAAAAGTAAGTAAATTTCTACTCTTTCATAGAAAAACGATGGGTAGATTGAATCACCGTCTAACCTTAGGTCAAAATACAACTTTTAAAGAAGGAGGGAGGAGAAATTTTTTTTTCAACTGGGTGTGGTTCATTACAACTCAAGATATTCGAAACTCACTCTCAGAAAAATTACAATAAAAGAAACAACGCTTACTGCACCTTGGTGACCCCAAAGGTTTTCCATGCAACAGCTACAACTATTCTCTTGGCATTTTTTGATGCAATGTGTGCGATTGTGATGATGGTGATGAAGAGGAGAATGCTTCATTGCCGACTCAGTGAGGTCAATTTCATCTGCGGGAGAAGAAATTAAGAGAAACTAATATCATCTTCATCTTTCTTTATAATTAATGAAGAGTTACTTGTTATAAAAATCTTACGACACCTTTTGTTAACAATGATTCCGCAGGGAAATCCTATATGACAGAGACGGGGCCGGATGCCCGCGTCGTCTCGTTTACATCGTCTATATTGGCGTTCATGATGAAGCTAAATATTTTTTACCCAAACAGATACCGCTTACGGCAATAATGAAATAAAATAGTATGCTGGTCAGATGACATTCAACTTCAACATCTTTCACGCAATTTAAGCGGACTAGTAATCGATTGCTTTTTTTCAGTAAGGTCTAGGGCTCAGATAAAGTCTCCTCCAGGGGTTTAATTCTGACAAACACTACAGCTCCCATCCACGATCGACAGGACACCAGGGAGTGCAAGAAAGCAATAGGTTTCGACTATAGGATGTTACTAAAACCGGGGAGCGCGGAGCAGCAAACGAGCACGGGAAAGGGGAAAATAAGAAATTGGAATAAAGCAGAGAATTGGAAATAAAGTTACTGATAGAGTTGGGGTCCAAGTTAATAGGTTTTGTTCCCATTTTTCATTTTTCCGTTCTCTTCGCTCGTTCCCCGCTCCCTGTTCTCCGTTTGTG